AATTGAGACAAATATTAGTACACAGTCCTCTATCTCAACTGCTTCAGCTCTTTGTCTTCAAGAACTGTTTTTCTGTCTCAAGAGGCACACATGCATAGCATCAACTGTAGTTTGTTTAGATCAGGTGCAACCTTCAGGCTTCCAGGAAACTGCTGGTCAGTCAAGGCTTAAACATTCGTGGTTAAGAGTTGCAAGCATCCTCCTAGGAGAGTCCTGCTTGCTCACTTCAGGGGCTTTCAGAGTGCTATTTGATGTAGAAGAAAAAGCACGCAACAGCACACGTGAGCATGCTTACTGGGCACTAGTATTTACCTCAGACTTAACACTAGATCTATAGGCCTGACCCATTTGCATTTGAACCCAGACCTAAATTTCCCTGAAGTTTAACAGACATTCAAAAGCCTGTGTTTTGAACCGGGCCTTAAAACTGAGCTGACTTATTAGGAGCTAAGCTAGCTAGACACATACTACAAAGAAGAGCTTTCAAAGATAAGCTGTTTCCTGGGGTTAATGATAAGATGGCAGGAGAGACAAGTGGGATGTTGACTGTACCTAATTTCAGCTAATCATTAATCTCCCAGAGATATCCGGTATGCCTTGATACTCCTTGCTGTTATGAAGTGCAAATGAAAGGCAAATGAACTTTTGCTCCCCCCACCTTCTGAGTAGGCTCAGTTTCACTTTGTGCGAAAAAACAGAGGGGTTAATAGTTTGCATGGTAGCCCATAAGTTTGCCCGGTAAATCTCCTCACATCCTTTTCTTGCCCACACTTCTGAGATCTATTCTCTTTCCATTTATGACACTAAAACTGCCAGTTTATGCCATATGGCATGTTCACCTGACCCAGACAAAACTATCCTTTTTTGTTTCTGATGCTCTTCTGTGCTGTACAGCTCTGCAAGGAAAACATTCAATAGCTCATCATATACTAGATGTCTACAATCTTCAATGGCTCTGCACATCCCCATGCAATTTCATCCTTTGTGCCCCGTATGTTCTCCCTTTCACGACATCTCTTTTGAAGCGCACAGAGCAGCCAGCTCTCTTCCAGCGAAGTCAGGGACTTAAAAATTCTCAATACCAGCACCTGACCAGTACACTCATTTGGAACAGGTCTCTAGAAAAAACTGGTAAAAGCCATTCATTATTTAAACTCGACTCCTGTTTTCCTTCCTGTTTGCTTGCTTTCTCACCTTTTGTATTTATCAATTTTAAGTTTAGGCTCCTGGAAAAGAGATCATCTTTGTAGCAAAGCTGATTGCTCTACTTGCTTGATGAGGCTTTACCTTCTCCTCTCAGCCCTTTTTCACTCAAACAGGGCCGTGAACTAGAGTCTCTAGGCACTGCTGAAACTAAGTTCTAAGTTCTGGATGGCTAAACTGTCATGCAAAATTATGGCTGTAAATATTTAATATTCAGTATTAAAAATGAAGGGCTTTCCTGCCTGAACAGCCACCCAACAGCTTCAAAACTTCCACCTGGAGTTCAAAGGCACTGCTTTCTCTGCATGAAAGTAAAAGAAGAAAGGCTGGGTGGAAGCTTGAGGCGTGACGACACCCCACGAGGTAAAAATAAAATCAAACAAAAGATAAAACGGGCCTGACAGTCACTGGAACAAGCTAAACACTGAATCAGCAATTATTTCTGAATTACTTATCCTGTTCCACATTGCGCAACTGGTTTGCAAGACTCACCGGGCAGGCAGCTCACGTATCTGATTGTGGCCAACATCCAACACTTCCAGTTTCCTGCTGTCACATACCCACTCAGGCAGGTTTTCCAGGTGATTTCTATGAATAAAGAACACAAAGAGGTATAACTAAATGATGATCAAGAGGTGAAGGCTATTAAGAATACAGCCTCAAGAGAGATACAGACACCTGCAGGAAATAAATGTGTTTCCTATGAGATTGTATCACCCCTCCTTCTCTAAGGGCACTACCAGTGCAGTGAGGTCCTGAGTGAGGGGCCAAGAAAGCTAACAGCATTATTATCTCTCTAGACGTGCAGCCACTAAGAAAATGGAAAAAGCTGCTTCCAAATTATCGGGGAAGAAATATTAAGAGTATCAGAATATTGAGGGTGAAGAAGACTCCACGGAGAAGAAAATTTGTGAGATACTCCTCAGAAAATATTCACACCCTACACAGTTGAAACGCACCTCCCTTGATCTCCCACAAAGTCAATCCTGAAACCCACTCCACCACTCTTCAGCTCTCTCACTGAATAGAGCAAAATGCATTTTTTTGTGTTATTTTTGAAGTCAAACATTTTGCTTTTCTTGTATTTGTCTTCACAGAAACTAACCCTTCTAAAAATTAAGTTCTTAGAGGTAAGTTTTTCCAAACATTGCACTGAAAGCATGCAGCTAGGCACAGCAGGGGCACCCATGTATCCTGCCTTCGAGACACGAACTAGCAGCACAAAATACATGGAGGAGGTTGTGTGCGTGTGCATTCACAGCACTGCTACTTCAGCTAGCGTACACAGATGCGAAACTGGGCACAAAATAATATTCAGGCATATGCAGACTTTAAGATCAGGAATCAGACCCTTACACAGCATGAACATAAAGCAATGTTCATGCTCATTCCTGTACTTGTATCCTATAGTTTATTAATGCAATAGCCTTTAACAAAAATACACTAGCAAACCGACCCCTCTTATCCTCAGATAGCTTCCTTTTCAGTCTCAAACAGATTTCCTAAATTCCAAGCAAGCCAAAAAGCTAGACACCCTACCCATTTAGTTACAATGCCATCACTGAACTGAGGCACAAAAAGGGTTTTGTGATCAAAATCATGCATTCTGCACCAATCTCATTTACAGCTAAATGGAGAACCCAGCTTTACAAAGAAGGCTTTTCAATAAATCACACTTATTTAACCATACCTTTGAGTTACGTTCAGGTGCACAATGGGAGTAACTCATGGTTGATGAAACTTTCAAGTTGATGGCCACTTGCCCAGGTTAACTCACTAATTGTTACGATCACCCTCAACAGCTTAAAGAGTGCTTTAAGCAGGCTTTTCTAATGAATAAGTTTATCGCTTCAACTTGCAGATAAGTAATTCCTTAAATAAGACAGACATTAAGCACACGTATAAAGTGTTCCCTGATTCAGTCCTTAAATTGTAAACCGAACTCCAATACCCCCTTTTCCATCACTTTCCTCTTCCCACCTCCCTCGTTAAAGGTGAGGTCCACGCAAATGGCAACTGCAGACATCCCTGCAGCAGCCAGGAACTGTGGAGAGCAGTGATGAGCTGCAGGAGCAGCTGCCGTACTGATGAGTGAAGCATCAAACCGTCACCTCTGACAGGCTTGTGACACAGACACACCCAGAAAGGAACTTCTGTACACATCTCATACTGGCACACGTTTGAATCATCGTGTTGTATCGCTATAAGATAGGAAATCTTTAAATCAGGGAAACTCTTTTCCTTTAACTATAAAGGCACATTTTGTTTTAGCACTAAAAAAAAAAAAAAAAAAAAAAAAAAAACAAACCAACTCTGTAAAAGGAAACAGGGAAGAACTGGCCAGAAGAAAAAGGCTCATCCTCTAACTCTGAAAATCAGTCTTCTATCTCAAGGTCCAATTCCTGCCCCAATTCCCTCACTGATGTATATTTCACAGGCCCAAGAAAAAAAACATACTTACCTAGAAATATCCATGTAAGCCAGGCAATTAGGAACTGGATACACATCAAGGTGAACAAGTTCTAGGGGGAAAAATAAATAAAAACAAACGTTGTGATAAAGATTTGCACTTAAATGGCTGTTCCATACGAATTATTTTAAGCAGCTAACACCCAGGTATTCTGGAACAAGTCAGTAACCTAAAAAACTTCAGAGGACCTGGACCTTTGTGAACTGAGTTTTGTTTCTTTATTATGTCTGGAGTATGTTTGCTATATTACGTTGTACTTGCCATGACAGACACTGCATAACTGATCAAAGAGAAGAAACTGGAGGATTTTAGAAGTTTCACAGCAAATTCTCATTTTTCCATTTTTGTCCCAGAGCTGTAGCTTCACCTTCGCCGCCCTCTGCCCGGAATAGTCAGTCACAAACCTGCTCTACTTTCTTTCACTGGTCACTAATGGTACAGGCATGGAAGGGAGACTCCCCACTCTGCAACAGCGAGCCGCAGAATAGACCAGAGCCCTCCAGGTCATGGCAAGACCCAGGGTATTTTTCAACACATTACGTGAGCCTTTGCGACCCTGTGGAGATCCTGGTTCAGGCCTTACAAGGAAGCCTTACACAGACCTTTCATAGCGTCTCAACTACCGCTAGTAACATTATATTTTGATTGCTTCAATAATATTTCATATTTTAAGTTTTTTGGGTAGCTAATGCTTAGCATTAGGGCTGAAATAAAACCAGTAGACATTTATTTAAGCCTCCAGAAAATCCACTAAAGTGAAAATGTAACAAGCATCACGGTTCCTTTGGAAGATGAGACTAAAACGAGGTGGCCGAGGGTGCAGAGAGACGATAGCCAGGAGGAACAGCAAGACCAAATAGGCAGTTGATTGCAAGATATGGGTTGACTTGGGTTCTCAGCTCACATTGCACAGCACATGCTCAGTTTGTTAACTTTTCCCAGCTACAAAGATCCTGGCATGAATATTTAATGAAGGCACAGGCTTGGATATCGTTAAGATGACAGCCTTTTAAAGGCAGTGCAGACTGCTCAGCAAATTCACAGCTCTTTGAGCTTGTGTTTTGTTTATTCCATACCAAACTACTCCAAAACACTAAAAATGGTGGTGAAAACTGAGTATTTTAAGTAATAGCAGCTTCCAGAGACAGATCAAATAAATCCTATTCATGGAACACGGGAGTTATTCAACTGGAAAATGCTGCATTATTTTTATTACTGAATACAAGTAAAGTCACTCATTATAGATTTTGTAGCTTTCTGGCCAGAGTAAGCAGCTAGAGGTAGCAGCAAAAATATATATTGTTTTAGTTTGTCTCACAAACAGCCACTTGTTCAAACTTTCTGAACTCTGGGGAAAAACAATAAATTCCCTATTTGCTTTGGTAAAGCAACACATTAATACAGCCCGAAGAACTGACAACTTCCAAGAGCCCTCCCTGCTGACACAGGGAGGAGTTTCAGCCCAAATTCCAATATTTTCACGGTTTTGAAACCTCCAAAGCAGTAGCCCAGTGTTATTTGAAAGGCACTTCTAAGCTCAGAATCGGCAGTAGCAGGACACGGCACACGTGAAATCCTTTCATCCAAGGGTCGTGTCAGGAGCCTCCCGACCACGCCCACTGCACTCCATAAGCATCCCGGAGAGAACCAGGTATGAAAACCAGAAGTCAGATGACACCACCACAGCTGCCCTGAAAAAGCACTTACCATTTGAGGAAGCGTACAGCGCTTTGAGAAAATATCCACTGATTTTGAGGGTGACCAGCTGATTCCGTTCACAGTGTAGGACTTCGACATTGTTAAAAACTGTTGCATCCAGCTCCCCAAGTTTGTTGTCTCTGAGATCCAGTTGGGTCACATGATGCAGAAAATCTATTTCATCGGCCTCCAATCTCCTGATTGAATTCAGTCTTGCAGACAAAAAAAAAGGAGATTAAGTGTAGTTACGCGGCAGGCTCCTGCTGACAAACCAATGCTCACTCTACAATCGGTTGTGCTGGATTAAACTAGCACACGTCCAGGTTCTGATCAAGGTTGATTTTAAATATTTTCCCCTTTGCTGTGGTATTTTAAAAGCAGTATGGATCAGCTCTGTTGTTTTATCCATCATGACAAAGGAACAATGACACCAAGTTCCTTTCTAAACTACTTTGAAAACTACTGATAAAAAGCTCTGCAATAACATAAGTATTACTGTTATTCTGTCTATAAAAATAAAAGATGATCTGGCTGTTATTTGTGCCCGATAGTTTGGAAAAGAACAAAACCTCTACAGTTCCTGCTGGCCTATCATGAGCATCTGCTGGAAAAGCCTGGCAGCTACGAGTAACCTGCAGATATTGGACTCGCTTGCCTTATCGAAAGGCCAAATTGAGATTTATGAGTTCCAAATTTTGCCTCTCGCTTTGCCATGCTCTGCAGCAAGCAAATTCAGATGCCTGAAAATGGGCGTTAAAAGAAAACAAAGCAAAAACACAAGACGAGTGGGTCTGTCAGATAAAGAGAACAGGTTTTATCACATCTTCACTGCAGTGCATTGATGCTGCCAATACTCGGCAACTTCCCCAGAAGTTACAGTTGATATAAGATTATCTATAACCCAGCAATGTTTGAGATGGCAGAGCACTCTGAAGAGTTCAGTTTCAAATTCTCAGTGCTGACCAGAACACTAAAATCGGTAACTTCTGTCAGCCCACTGAGCCTCCCTACTGAGGATAAGGGCATATACCCACAAGCTTTGCTGTTACTCTTGCTTTCAAAGAGTTGCCCTCTGTGTAAGCTGTGCTTTCAGAGTAGCTACATTTTCCAATTAAAAGAAAATGGGAAATATGCCCCCACCAATACCACAGCCTGCTTTTTCTGTTTTCAGTTGACAAGCAGTGCTTCCTTCCAATTTCACCGAAGCAAAGCACTTCGCTGTGCAGCAAGTACAGCTTGCAAACACGTTTGACATTTGTTATTCCAGGTAACATTACAAAGAATCACTGTTTGCTGCTTGGTACAGAAAGGATGCAGAAGACAATGAGGGCTGGAACTGCACCACTGGAACTCATGGCCAGCTCAGCCAGGGCATCCCTACACTAAGGCCAGTTTATTTATTTGTTTTTAACATACATACAAGCACATGGACATATTTTAACCCCACCATATACACTTCAGAATTCATATGTCTATTTTAGCTGTCTTTTTAACTTATGCTGGCCCTTCCTTGACTGCAAAGTCTGACAGCTACACAGCAGTACGGTACACTAAGTTTTAGCTTGAAGAGCTTAATTTAACTAAATGGTTCCAAAATTCATCATTATTTGGTCCTCATGGTCCAGGCTCTGATTGCAGAATCCCAGCCGATTGCAGAAGCTGGCTTCCCCAAAGACCGTAAGAATAAAGAACCGCCTCATACCAGAGCCATTTGTAATGAGGATCTGTTTAGACTCTGCTGAGGGCATCAATAAAATAACGTTACTCATGGTGGACTATGCTTTTTAACATACCAGGAAATACTAAAATATCTATTTTTGTCCTGTCACCTTCGCTGCCCTTTTCTTCATCTCACGCATCTGTAACATTTCAGACAGAAGCTTTTTGAGTCAGGGACTATAATTTACATTATATTAACAGCACACCAACTAGAACTGCAGGAGCCCCCAGTGTCCCAGGCTCTGTTTTGTTTGGGGGTTTTGGTATAGGTATTAATCTCCCCCACTCATTTTCCTAACTATCAATCCCCCTAAATGCTGCCCCTTCCTCAGAAGAAGAACGCTAAGTCACGGCAAGTGCTGTGAGTTACGGAAGGCCGCCAGAAGCACGGTTCAGTGGGCTAACACAACAGATTCATGCACGGGGGGCTATTCTGACAGCCAAAGAGAAACTGTTTCAACACCAAGAATTTAGACCCACGTATTTTCCCCCCACCCTTTTCAAATACCTACCTGAGATCCACATGCTTAATGTGAGGCATCCTTTTTAACACCTGTAGGTTCAGGGTATCCATGCAGTTCCCCGACATACAGAGCTTATCCATTGCGGTCAGCTTCTCCAGCACCCCTGGAATGCCGGTGAACTCGTTGAAGGACAGACTCACGTAGCTGAGCTGATGCATATGCTCCAACTCATCAGGAAGGGACTGCAGAAAGTTGCCATCCAGCAAAAATGTCTGCAAGCTATTAAAGGTGGGGGAGGGGAAGGGAGAGTGAAGAAAGTGAGTGACCTATTAAATCACATTTCCTTCCTATAAACACACAAATCTGCTGCAGTTGCAGTGAAATAAAACATGCAAAAGGGGAGAAGAAAGAAAAAAGTTAAGGAATAATGCTTTCACATCTCTGCCAGAAAATAGCAACCAAAGAATTAAAAGCCTTGCAACTATGAAATGCTAGTATCTTCAAACAGAACTGAGTCTTGGTGTGAGGGCTGAAGCAGTAAGCAAGAGGGTTTGAAAGATTATCTTCACCATGAAGGTGTCGCCTTGTGTCAAATACTGGGGACCAGAAAAGCTTTGAGACATGAAGGGTCCACCCCCAGGTCACAACTGCTTCCATACAGATCTATGAGCCAGTCTGCTCTGACAAAATCCAATAGGTTTAAGCAGTTTCTGATAGCAAGATTATGTACAGAGTCATGAAACTGCTTGTTGTCTATATTATCAGTCTGTGCACATTAAGTTTTAAGAAAGTACTTGCTTGTGCATCTCGCCTACAACTGCTGGAACGCTTCTGAGGGCATTGCAGGACACGTTGAGTTCAGTCAGGGTTGGGATACCACAGACTGCCAGTGGGAAGTCTCCTAAATTATTATTGGAAAGGTTAAGGCTCTTCAACTTGGTGAATCTACAATGAGATAAGAAAAAATAAAAATTTAAAAAAAAAATAAATAAAGGAGACAAGTAAGTGACGCATAAACCACATCAAGCTGCCTTGTAATAATTCGTACAAGGTAAGTTTGGTTATGTAAATGCAAATCACATGCAAGTTTAGTTTATGCACTTGGAACAACCAGGGAAACTACCAGACGCTGAAGTTCAACACCACTTGCAAGAGTTCACTCACGTTAAGCCGGTGCAGAGAAACAAGCCCTCCTGAACAACATGCTAAATATATTTTCCTATGAGCGTAACAAAGAACAAAACCCTTGCCATCCTTATATTGTTTCTTCTTGCCATCCTTATGATACATATAATTTCTTCTCTGGCATCTCATCCTGTACTACAGCACTGCTATTTTTCTGAACACATTTCCTGGTAGTAAGACTACCCTAGTGACACTGGTTACAAGGCGCAGAAAATTCTCAGCCTTTCTGAACACTAAATTTTTGTGGTGCAGCTCAGCTCCACTCATGTGAGTAGATACTGCCTTTCAACCACAGATTCTCATTAGAATGGACGGGTTTGAATACAACCAGCAAATGTGCTGAACTAAAGCAGAGTTTAGCAAGACTTCTGTAGTGACAGAGGCAAATTCTTCTGTTCTCAATTAAGTACAATGTCAAAGCTCCTGCGGATTTCAAAATTTTGTCCTTCACATGTCACAGAACTCTTAAAAGCCCCTTGGTTTATCACATCGGCCAACAGAGGAACTTGCATGTGCTTGCCTTATTAAAGATGACCAAGACTGCTTGAACAAAAAACCCAAGAAGGGGACAATCCAATTAGCCAGCCTGCATGTTCAGCAACATTATTACGGTTGCCTAACAACCACTGGGAGGTATGCCTAAAGGCAAGTGAAAGGATGAATGAAAAGATCTGTGTCAGATTCCGATAGATGGGAGGAAGTTTCTTTTCTGGCATGGTTTATGCCAGGACATTTTATTTGGACTTCGTTTTCCCTTCGTTAAGGCTCAAGTCCTTTATTTGTGCGAGCGGGCTTTTATATAACATGGGGATGGAAGCAAAGCTGTGCCTATGAACGCTGCTATTCCACGTGAAAGTAATCTCCAATAGCATCTTCCAGCCAGTGCACCCACAGCCGCTGCACCCACCCAGCGCATTCTTACCTCGGAGCACTTTGTCCTCCCCCGACCAGAAAACACATCAAGCATTGCACAGGTTAAAAAGTTTTAATGCCAAAAAAACTCTCGGAAATCCTCAACCAGTTGAGGACGGTGGCACACGCCTTCAGTACTGCCTACATCAAACTAGCACCACTTGACTAGAACCCAACATGAAATTTTAAGTAGTGTCTTCCTATTGTATTTCAATGGGGGTTGTAAGTGAAGTGTGGATATTACCCCAAAAGACAGGCTATAAACACATTTAAAGTTTACAAATACACTTAACATTTACAAAGGCTTGCAGCAAGCAAGCGAATGCTGGGCTTTGTATTGGTATTTTGGTGCAAAGATGGCAGAAGAAAAAAAAAAATATGGAAAAACCACGGCCAGTTACCACACGTTTTGAACACCCTGTGCCACGCTGGAGGCAGAAGAAGTATGGAACAGACTTAGAAGGAGACTAAATGAAATCTTGCAATCAAATTATTGCTGCAGGGAAAAAAATGCTACTGTGCAGAAACAATGACTAATGTATCTCTGGAGGGGGAACTGTAAAATAAAAAGGAGGCTAGGGTAAGCTAGCTGATATTAATGAGGGCTGCTAGCCAAAAAAAAATTAAAAAATGCACATTTTAAACATTATACCTTCCCAATTCCTCTATTTTGAGAGAAAGGGCTTAAAAATCTTCCACCTAGAACTGAAACCCACAATCCCGCATTTATCTTGAAAATAACTGTAGATCTCAGCCACAGATATACTGCCTTGAAATTTGGGGTGATTCTGTGGTGGAACAGCTGTCCCACATCTTCCTCAAAGTCAACTGCAAATACAAACAAGAACGCTCTAAGTAGAAATCACATTTTTTCCAGTATTTAGGTAAGTGCAAAAATAGTAGTGAAGACAGGAAGATTAAGTCAAAATAACTAAGCTGCTGGAGAAACATCAAAATGCAACTCTTCCAATTTTCAAGTCAACCATGAAAAAAGAATGAACTCATTTAATAATCAACACTGAGGCTACAGCCTTTACCTGTGCCACTCTGGACTCTCAGAACAGTCTCAGGACTTTTGCCCACTAAACAAGTGAAGACCACAATCTGCTAGAAGACCCCAAATACAATACTGAGGTAAAATTACAGAAGATCAAGCTAATACACAGAGGAAAGAGGACTGGGGTGGGGATGGTGAAGGAAGCTGAAAAATACATTAACCAACTCCAATGCAGCATTCAGCTTCCAGGTTCTGCACTCATTCTTGTGTATAATTGTCCTAGGTCAGATGAAAAAAACCCCAAACTTAAGACTACTGGCAGGAAAGAGATTTTTTCTTCTTCCTTTGTAAATATGTTCATTTACAAAATGCTAAAGTTGCATTTCTCCTCACGGAGCACTGTCAAGTACAAAACATTACTAAGGCAAACTGGCAGACATTTGCTCAAAGCTAAAATCTAAGTCTACCTCTCATCTTTGGCCACTCATTTCCCACTATCCAAATGGCACATGGGTTTGGGTTGGGACACTTCCATTAGGAACACTGCCATGCTGCACATTCAAAATGCTGAACTGGTTATAGCGCTTCTTCTACCTACATAGATTTACAGCCAGTAGCACCGATAGCATTCGTAGCATCGATATAAGTAAGGTAGGAGAGAAGTATTCTACAGACTCAGGTTTTCTGTTGCTGCTGAGTTTGCACAGCATCGGGCTTTAAATAGATTTTACAGAGCAGCATCTTTGCCATTTTCTCACACCTGAATCTTTACTCCTACCAGAAGCAGGGGCGCACATGGATGCTGCCCTCATGGCATTGCTGTAAAGAAAAGACACAACGTTTGAGGCATGACAGTGTAATAACCTCATATCAAGTCCATACATATGCTTTCTTTCCTCTTCTCCCTCCTTTCCTAGTTCTAGACTGCTGTTATCTGTTAAAAAATGTCAACCTGAAGAACAGCATCTCTCACACTATGTTCCGTTAGCTTACCAAGCCTTCTCTTGTAATGACCAACATACAAACACTCCCTTCTCTGATCAAAAATAGTCCTACTTTAAGCTAGAGCAAAATATTGACATGTCAACCCTTGAGTTTAAACATGCAGTATGACTGAACACTAATTGCCATAATTGAGCCAAAAAATGCCCACTTAATCCTGAAGCTGCCACTTCAGGAGTGGTTTTAGTTTGACATACGCAAAATGAGGAGAGGGACTAACAAGAAGAGTTTGTATCACGGCAAAGCAATGAACTGACGTGCCAGTTTCAAATTCAGATCTACCTGATGCGCACAGCAGAGGAATTTCCACTACACAGTGCAGCATTTGTGTTCCACTATGTTTGCAGAGGGGGGAACAGTATAGTCGAATTGGCCATACACTGTCATTGAAATGCAGCCATAATGGACTCATCTGACAGAACCAGTCTTGCCCCACTGTTACCAAAAGCAATTAAAAAGCAGTATTTTACTACACCCAAACCAGAAGACATAGCTTAATAAGGGGCTCAGCTTAAGGAAAACAATCACTTTCCCAGTACTATCTCCAGTATTTGGGCTCT